AAATTTTACTAAAAAAACTATGTATAGCTAAAATAATTCAAGTATACTATATGATTTTATAAGATAATTATTATAATATAGTATTATATATAACATAGTATATAATGTAATAATAATTTGTAAGAGAAAATATAATTTGTTACAAAATTGATGAATATATAAATAAACTTAAAATACTTTTCAAAGTTAATTTATATTCAGAATATTATTAAATATATATAGCAAAAGAAGATATATATAAAGCTATCTTCAAATTTACTATAATTACTATAAGTTTTTAGTCTTATTATTTAATCTTATCAATATATTTATCACTTTTATAATCATAATATATAATATATTTTATAATTATCTAGATAAATTTATAATTATATATTTAAATAATATCTTAATTTATAATAAAATAAAGAAAGAATATATTTAATATTTTTAGATAGTACTTAATATACTATATAAATATAAATTATATATTAAGAAATATAATATAATTTAATAATATATAAAATATTTTTATTATTTAATAATAAAATTATAAGTATTTATAAATTAAATATATTTACTTTATATTTTATATTATTTATAAATAAATAATCTTATATATTTTATATTTTTATTTTAGATCTAAATATTATTTAAATAATAAAATTATAAGTTATTTATAAATTAAAACTATTTATTTAAAATTATAAATAATAATTTTATAATTTAATAGTAATAAATATATTTATTATAATATTATTTACTATATCTTATATTATAATATATCTTTTTATATTTATATTTTAGTTCTAAAAGAACAATTCAAAAAATTTATAAAAAGAATAACTAAATTAATTAAATTAACAAAAAAAATTTCTATTAATTTCAAGTTCTTATCTTATTTTTTTATTAAATTATTTATTTATTCTAAAAAACTAAATAAAATATGCTTATTTAAATTATATAAGTCAAGATTATATTTATAATTCAAGATATAAAAAAGAAAATTCAAGTATAGTATATTATTATCTTTTTAATAGATACTATCTTATATTAATATCTCAATTAATAATAGGAGTCACAACTAGCTGCAACTCTATTATAATTCTCTAATTGGCTGCTGCAACTCTATTACAATTCTCTAATTGGCTACTATAACTTTATTACAATTCTCTGATTGACTATTGCAAGCTGCAACTAGTTGAGAAGTCATCTTTAATCTCAATTAAAAATATCATTACTACTTGATTATAATTCTCTAATTAACTATTATAATTGATTTCAATTCTTTGATTAACTATTATAAGTCATAATTAATTAAAATGATATCTCTAATCTTAATATATATAATATTAAAAATAATATTATATTATATAATTTATAAAAAAATTTTATAAGTATACTTAAAAAATCTTTTAATTATCTTACTATTAATAAATTATTTATTAGTAATTATATCTTTTTTATCAAACTAAATTTATATAAGATTATAATATTAAATTTAGAAATATAGTTAGTTAAATAAAAGAAATAAGAAATCTAAATCAAGTTACTTATTTTATAAAAATCTTAAATTTGCTATAAAAATAAAATTAATTATTAAATATCAGAAATATTAAAAGAGATATAAAATTATTCAATATTATTATATATAAATAGAATAGATTAGTAAATATTTAAAGTAAATATAAGAATAATTACATATATAATATATTAAATTTAATATATTATTAAGTAAATAATTATTATATTATTAATATTATTAATTTAGATAATTAAAATTTTTAATTAAATTTCTTTTAATAATTCTTTTATCTTTTTATTTATTTTTTTCTTATTATTATTTATATTATTATTTATTATATTATTAATTATTGAATTATAATTAGTTATTCTTCAGAAATATGAATTAAGTTAATTAATTTTGTTAAATAATATATAATTTAAATTAGAAATAATTATTAATTTATTTACTTTTATATTTATTTTATTTTCTTATAAATATATTTTTTCTGTTTTATAAAATAATTTCAGATGTAATATATTTTAAATAATAAAATTATAAATTATAAATTGAATTTATTTATATTATATTTTATTTTATTTATAACTATTAACAAAATAATCTTACAAATTTGACAAGATATTATAGAAATTATCTTTAAATATTATTAAAACAAAAGTAATTTTATTAAAGAATTTGAAAACTTTATTATATCTAAATTTTATTAAAGAATTATCATATATAATTACTATATTAGATATATTTTTCAATATATTATTATAAATATTTGAAAGTAAAAACTTTATATAAAAATTTATAATATGATTTATTAAATAGCAATAAAATTTTAAAAATATCTGGAAGTTTTATAATAAAGAATAATTTAATAATATTATAATAACTTTAGTTAAAAATTAAAATTATTATAAATCAAATAAAAATACTTAATATAAAAAGATAAAACTTTTAAAGAATAATAAAATATAATTTTAATTCTAAATAAATTAATTTTTATATTTTCTTAAAAAATATTATTTTTTTATAATTTTTTCAAAAATTAATAAAGAATTCATATAATTTTGTTATAATTTATTGATATGAGTTAAAAAAGTATTCTTATTTATACTATACTAAAGAGTATAATATAATTCTAATAAAATTTATAAATCAAGAAATATATATTATATTAAAATTTGATAAAAAAATTATTTTTTATTAAATAAATATATATTTTAAAAAATTAATAGACAAAGAATTTTAAAGTTAAATTTATATTTATAATAAAATTTAAAGAAAAAAATAAATAATAATATATATAATTAATCTATTTATCATTTATCTATTTAATTTAAATCTAAAAAATTATAAAAATCTGTAAATATACTAATTATTATAGTTTTTTTAAATTATATTACTTTAAAATTTCTATTTTAGAATTCTAACAGATTTTGAATTAGTATAATCAAAAAATTAGTAATAATTAAAATATTTACTAATAATTACTAATTTAATATTTATCAAATTTACTAAAGAAATTCAAATTATTTTATAACTAATAAATAAATTTGATTGAATTTTTTAATATATTTTTAATTCTTTAATAATCTTTATTTTCAAAATATTATTTAAGTAATTATTTTTTAAAATTATTATATTTAATTAAGAATATTTATTAAATTATTTAAAAAATATTGAAATATTAAAATTTAAAAATTAATTAATTATAAGAATAAAAAAAATTTATAAATATAAATTAAATAATTTATTTAGTTTTATATGATATTTTAAATAAAAAAATCAAGTAATTATATATTATATACAGAATTAATTTTTAGATTTTTGGATATTTAAATTAGACTAAATTCAAGCTCAAATTCAAATATCTAAAAAAATCTCAGTTTAAATATCAAGCAATTATAATAAATTTTTCTATAATATAAAATTTAAATATTTTTTTTAAATACATATAAATTAATATTTAAATATATAAATTTAAATATTATTAAAATATCAAGTTTATAAAAAGCAATTTATAATTTATAATATATTATATATTTTTAAAATAAAATTTATAATAAAGAATTTTTTTTTATAAATTTTTATTAAATTATTTATTATATATAATTTAAATAATTTAATTTTTATTTTTAAGTTTATATAAGATAAAAAATATATATTTCTAAAGAAAGTTATTTTTAATAATAATAAAAAATTTATAATTTTATTTATATTTAATATATTATTTAAATATAAAAATATTTAATATAAAAATAATTCAAAATTATTCTTTTACTAAAAAACTAACTTTATAAAAAATCATAAATTTAACTTATATATCTATTTTATAAACTGATATCATTAATATTATTACTATTATTATTATTACTATTACTAATATCACTTTTTATATATTTGCTATCTAAACTGATTTTATTTTCTATATCATTATCCAAATCTAATTATAATTGATGAATGCTATAAGAATTATAACAAATAAATTTTTAAGCTCAAACTTTTGTCATATATTATCAGTTAAATGTGAAATACTAGCAAGAAGATTTAATTTACTAAGATTAATATAAACTTTACCATTTATTATCTGATAATAATTTGCTTGAGATTCATCATCTTTATCAATATCGCGCCATTTGTATGCTAATTAAATTCTTATCATAACCGAAATTTTAGATCAAAAGTTTTTGTTAAGAATATTAATTAAAAAATTTGTTCAGTATTGATATCATAATTAGTTAACATTATAGAAAATTTTTAAGCATTTTTATTAGGGTAGTTTCATAAAAACAAAATATAAGCTATCGTTATTTTTAAACAAGCATTTGTTTTGCATCACACAATTGATCTAGGTCAAAGCAAAAAAAAATGAGAAAAAACAGAAACAGATACCTTCACACAGACATTTCGGTGATTGTTTTGACCGCCATATTTTTGCACTTTTGAAGGTTATGCAAGCTAGTCGTCGTCAGGATACGTTCAAATCATAATTTTTCCCTAACCTTTATTTCTTCTGAGTGATCACAATAAATTTCACCGGCCGATAATCGATTACGCGTATGTGTGATCATTTAACTCGCGTTAATTAAAGGTTTAGGACTAAATTAGAGATAATATGTGTATTTCCTTCCTAACATTTTTATTAGTATCCGAAACTGGATTTAGGCGTCTTTTCTCATATTTTACATTTATATGTACTTATTGTAAAACAAATTTATTTTACTGCTAAATGAATAATCTTATTGATAAACCGTATGATGAATGAGACAAATTAACAAAATAAAAATAAAAGTTTCTCTGTTACCCGTGTTGAAGCAAGGATCATGATTTATTTAACTCTTGTCATTACGTATCAAGTATACGTAACTTGCCTATGAACTAAAAATTATCAGTACTTTATAATTCAGCATGTCAACATATAATTTTTCTTAATGAATGGAAACTAAATATATATATTGATTTGTCAGTTTATTTATATCCTAGTTCCTTTTAACATATTTGAAGAATGAAATCTATAACTCCAGAAGAAACACGAAACAGTATACAGCAATGTAATAAACGAGCAATAATACAAACTCATGTTCAACAATGCAATAGTATTTCTAACAGATGGAAGGAGGCTAGCTCGTCACAATCGGCGCTCTGCATATCTTCCGAAAAGCTTGCCGACTACGATAGCAGTAGAGTTAGTTACAGTGATCAAGGACAAAATGTAATATCAACTTCTTTAATACATATTTTATTATTTCAGTAAACTAATTATCATACCACTATACCCGTATATAGCTCTTAATCACCTGTGTATTTCCCGTTTCTCGCCGCATGCTTTTATTCCCTAGAAACGGCACTTTAAAGGAATTTCGACAATTAGCTGAAGAAAAATTCAAAAATACTCTGGTCCCCGTAGCTTATAAAACCTTTGATGGCTTTATAATTGATTTAGTTGACCAAGAGGATTGGAATGTTGCGCTTTGGGAAGCGATAAGAAACAAAGAAAATAAAGTTAAAAGGATTGAAGTATATTTTGACAAATTTTAGTTCTATTATATTCATGTAAACGTTTTATAATAACTAATAGAAAAAGAGCAAGATTATTAAATCAACCTTTCAAAATAGAACATTTTTAACAAACAATTTTTTCAATTATCAAATTTGTTGAAGCCATAATTTTTGGCTCTTTTATCACAATGAAAACATATGTCGTTTTTCCAAACGAGCATGTACTGTTCTGCGCCATAAATTTTGATTTTATAATAGAATGACAATGTATAATTATATTCGCTAAAGCACCTGTTTATTAAAATTTTATTAAAAATTATAATAAAAGTTTGAATTAATTCTGAAAACCTAATAATGAACAATTTTAGTGGACTAATAAATTATTTTGAACAGTAATAAATTCAGATGCCAATTTAAATAAGCAAAATATTAAAAAAGAACTTCAAATTTAATTTTTAAACAAAAAAAAAATAAAATTTTATACAGTTACTTTTGAAGATATCAAAGTTATATTTTGTCTTTTTCGATTTACTACACATACAAAATAATACTTTTTTATTGTTAATTGATTTTATATATTAAGTAAATGTTTAATAATAGAATATAAATTCAAACATTATTAAAAAATGAAAGAAAGCTAAAAGAATTTTTAATTAAAAATAAAATATTATATAATAATTATTATATTGTATTATTATTAAATAATAATAGAACAATATAGTTTTAAGTTAAATTTCTTTATTAATATATAATAAATTATTAATAGCAAATTTTATTTAATTATATAAGTAATATTCGAGTTACTTAATAAATTAGATTAGCTTTTAACAGTAAAATCAAAATTTGATATTTAATAATTTGAAATTTGCAAAATTTAATAATATTGATTTATTAATTTTATAAAAAATTTATAATTTTCTAATTTAAAAGCTTATTACAAAAATTTAAAATTTTTATTTTTTAAATATTTATTAACTTGATATTTTAAATTAATATTATTTATTAAATTTATATTATTGAAAATTATTAAAATTAAAATTTTAATATTATTTAATAATTACATATATTAATTAAATAATTAAATTTTAATATTTAGCTATATAAAAATATATTTTTATTTAAATTAATAAAATGAAATTTATTATTAATTAAATAATATACTTATAGTTTTTTAATTAATTTATGAAAAATAATTTGTTTTAATCTTTAATATTTATAGTTTGAATAAAAATTTATTTTAATTCTTAATAATAATTTTTATTATAAGTAATTTATATATTAATTTATATAAATATTAATTTAGATAATTCAAAATTTAATTAAATTTTAAAATACTAATATTTTTTATTTAATTAATTCTAGTTTATAAATAATCTGATATTTGAATTAAAATATAAATCTTATTATTAATTTATAATAAATTAATACTAATAATATAAATTTTATATTTATATTAAATTATATTGTTACCGTAGTAGCATAAAAATCCTTAATTCCTTAATTTTTTCGTGGTTATGCAAAATCACATTTTCTTATAACTTTTATATTTTATAATTATCTCTATATTTTTACGTCATATA